GAAGAGCCCTTCTTCCTCGTGGAAGGAGGAAGACAGGGCTTCCAAAAGAGTGTCTGCTTTTCCACAAAAAAAGCGGAAGAACAGACGTGTTCCCTGGATGCAGGGGAGTGTTTCCAGGATACCTCCTGTATCTCAGAAAACCCCCATAGTGTAGACATAGCCTGCAATAACACACAAAAGAGTGCTAAGCATCAACCAGTACAAAGATCTGTTCCCTATAGCAGTGATCTTACACATACTACTGAAGCCCAAACTTTTTCCAGCTGTAGACATGGAGTAATAGCTTTGTAGCACAGTTGAACTGATTAAAGCTTTTTGGAACTCACCCGTGGCATTGTGAGGTTTAGGAAATTAACTTCAAATATTTAACAAATATTACCCGTCCATTTTGAAAGGCAGTCCTAGGACACTTTAGATTATAAACTTTCCCAGGTATTTCTGTAGCATATAATTCACATAAGCATCATGTGCACAGTTTACAATAAAACCCTTTTGAATTCTCAGACAACCCACAGGTTTTTGATCAACAGCATCCATCTCTTACCACAAGTTCACATATCTCTCACAATTGTCAGGCAGTTATCTCACCAAGTACTCTTCCTGAAGTGAGACATTCACAATGTAGCATGCTTTCTATAAATTGCTAGCTTCTTGACAGCTAAACTTAGGCTATATCTACACTAGCATTTTTGTCAGTACAACTTATGTTGCTCAGCTGTGTGGGAGGGGAAAAAACTACACCCCTGACTGTCATAAGTTGCACTAAGAGAAGCACCAGTGTGGACAGCATTATGTCAGCAGATGCTCTCCTGTGGACATAGTTACTACCACTTGTGGGAGGGAATTTAATTATGCTGATGGGAGAGCTTGCTCTGTCAGCAATGAACAACTATGAGAGCAGGGAACTGGACTTGATGTAAATGTGTAACTATTGAAATTTTCAGCAGTTTCATGTTTATAACCCCTCTCCTCTGCTTTTTAATATCCCTAATAACTACACAGAAGATCTTATAGCTGTAAAGTCACTAGTGTAGATATAGCTAACAAAATTGATTTGTAATATGCTTTGAAATTCTTGGGTGAAAAGCCCTAAATAGGATTTCTCTGGCATTTCACAGCTGTCCTATATCTTATCAAAGGCTTTTTCATTAGGTCAGTGATTCCCTGAAGCTTTTTCCCTTGGAATCCCTGGCTATGTCTAGACTGGCATGATTTTCCACAAATGCTTTTAATGGAAAAGTTTTCCGTTAAAAGCATTTGCGGAAAAGAGCGTCTAGATTGGCACAGACGCTTTTCCGCAAAAGCACTTTTTTCAGAAAAGCGTCTGTGCCAATCTAGACGTGCTTTTGCGCAAAACAAATCTGAACTGTCTACACTGGCCCTCCCTTTTGCGCAAAAGCTTTTGCACAAAAGGACTTCTGCCTGAACGGGAGCAGCATAGTACTTCCGCAAGAAGCACTGATTTCTTACATGAGATAGTCAGTGTTCTTGCAGAAATTCAAGCGGCCAGTGTAGACAGCTGGCAAATCTTTCTGCAAAAGCTACTGCTTTTGCAGAAAAACTTGCAAGTCTAGACACAGCCCCCATGTATACCCCTGCCTTTATACTGAGGCACAGTATAGTAGTCATGTCTACTTTTTTCTGTCTGTGCTCATCTCTTTCTCCACCCTCTCTCCCCCTTTTCTATTTTCTCTTTTTTTATTCCTATTTTTCCTCATTTACAAGGAAAATTCTGCAGTGTTTTTGTTCCTCTCTCTCCTCTAGAGATCACCAGAAGCCCCCACACCACTTTTGATAGTGAATTGTCTTATGAAGGCAATGCGCTATAGGCCACATTCCTCTTGCAGCTGAGTGGTGTTCTAAGAAGAGACAAGCTTATGCTCATGAGCTGTTTTCCAATTCCCTGTATGTTAAAGTTGCTTCTATGCCCATATCTATTTGGGGCTCCCACGGGCACAATAAAGATGAGTTTCAAGAGCTGCCCTCTACTTAACCTACTACATATTTATTGTGGAATATCTGCACTAGAGCCAACTCCTCTGTTTTCTTGTCTTTTCTGCCTCATGTGTTCACTGGATTAGACAAGGAACCCCAGACTGGAAAATACTACTTGTAGTAAGATGAAGGCCCAAAACATAAGCCAATATAGCACAGGCCTGGTCTGAGGCCTAGCTACTGTAACCCTTCTGCCAGGCTGAGTTAATAGCAGCAAGGGCTGGGTTCAGTATCTAGGGGCTACGTCTAGACTACATACCTTTTTCATAGTTGCTAATGAAGCGGGGATTTAAATCTCCCCCACTTCATTAGCATAAAAATGGCTGCCGCTTTTTTTTGGCACGGAGCTTTGCCGGAAAAAAGTGCCAGTCTAGATGCTGATCTTGCGGAAAATAAAGCCTTTTCCGAAAGATCCCTTATCCCTCTATGAAAAAGGGATGTAGTCTAGATGTAGGCAGGGGCTCCCCTCCCAACAAGGTAATACAACACCAGCTCTAGCCCCCACCCTGTGACCTGGAAAATCTTACATACACCTCTGGGTGCCTCAAAGAGGCCATTCTTCCCCTCTCGCAAGCACAGAGCCTCAGTATAGCAGCAAACCTTTAATAACATGAGGTAACAGACATCAGCATTAACTTAGGAAAACACCACATCTCGGATTCATAGACCAAACATGAGTAAAGACCCTCCCCCCAGCCACAAATCCCCAAAAGTCCAACACCCCAAGAGTCTCTTAAGTCCAGCAACCCGAAAAATCACCCAAAGTCCAACACCGAAGGCTGTGTCTACACTGGCCAGTTTTTCTGGAAAATGAGCCGCTTTTCTGGAAAAACTTGCCAGCTGTCTACACCGGCCGCTTGTCATAGACCAAACATGAGTAAAGACCCTCCCCCCAGCCACAAATCCCCAAAAGTCCAACACCCCAAGAGTCTCTTAAGTCCAGCAACCCGAAAAATCACCCAAAGTCCAACACCGAAGGCTGTGTCTACACTGGCCAGTTTTTCTGGAAAATGAGCCGCTTTTCTGGAAAAACTTGCCAGCTGTCTACACCGGCCGCTTGAATTTCCACAAAAGCACTGACTTCCTACTGTAAGAAATCAGTGCTTTCTGCAGAAATACTATGCTGCTCCCGTTCGGGCAAAAGTCCCTTTTGTGCAAAACTTTTGCACAAAAGGGCCAGTGTAGACAGCTGAGATTTGTTTACCGCAAAAAATCCCCGATTGCGAAAATGGTGATCGGGGCTTTTTTGCGGAAAAGCGTCCGTGCCAATGTAGACGCTCTGTTCCGAAAATGCTTTTAACAGAAAACTTTTCCGTTAAAAGCATTTCCGGAAAATCATGCCAGTCTAGACGTAGCCCAAAAGTCTCTGCCCTGGGTCAGTGCCGCCCCAGGGTTCAAAAGTTCACCCGGCAGGGTTTCACCATCCCAGGGTTTCACCATCCCAACCTGGAGGGGTGGTGATGGATGGCTCCGCCTCTCTGTAGGGTTCTGCTGCCACCGTCAACGTGAGTCACTCCGCCACACTCTACCTGTCGTCCAGTGAACCGCCTCAGCTGTCCCACGAACTGTCCGGCTCCACCAGCAGTCTCGGTCCACTCCCCTGGCCGCCAGCTGGTTGCTCCTGCAGCTGCTCCACTGGCTGTCTGCTGCTGCTCCTACCAGCCACCTGCAGCTCCTCCCCCACCAGCCGCTCTGCCCAAACTCGTGATTTCAACTCTTAGTGATTTCAACTCCTT